AAAAGGTCGATACCACAACTTCTCTCCTTAAAGGTTATGTACTTGTACAATATTGACAAACCTTATGGATAACAAGTTCTTTGCTTTCATGGGTGCAATGTAATTCCTGCTTGGCAACAGAACAAGAATCTGTATCGAAACGTGGCACTCACGAAGTAAATTCCTGCTTGACAACGGTAAAGTAATCTGTATGGGCTAAAGAATCTGTAACGAAACTTTATCTCTTTCAAAGATCAATGGTGGTTCCCAAAGGAACACACAAAATGTACAAAGTACGTACTTTTACTTGGGAGATGTCATATGTTTCATGTCCCGTCGTACAAACATAATGACACGGTAACATCAGTGCATATCCATGGTGAGAGCAATTTGCGTAGTGACTTATGAACCCAGTCCCTTAGCAACAATGTGTTCATTCGTAAATTAGCAATTTCGTTTGTTTCAATCAAAACAAAAAAAAACATTGCGTAGAACAATGCACAACATAAAACGTTTTCAGTGCAAATGGCCCCACACATAGCATCACATCCTTCTAACCGGCAGGAACTTCGAGACTCAATACTGTTCACAGAGTAAAGTCTGAATTCTTGTTTTGTTTACAAACGCGCAGTCCTCCGAGCGCACCCCGCCGTGAGATTGCAGGGATATTGCTAAAACGGCGTAAAACCATACTCACTCGCTCTTCCGGGCACAGCGTTCGGTTTCACATCTAATGTTGAGCTACTCTACTTCGTTTTATTTCATCAAGGCACGTTGTATTGGTGACAATGACCTTTAGCCGTTTGATTCTAAAATGTTTGAAGAATTCAGGGATGTATGTGTCGGAGATGAGTGTGAAATTTATGTTATTTAATAGACGTCCCGTGACCTGCCAAGTCGAAATGTCATCCTAAACTCTCGTTTTTTTGCTTATGCTTGTTGTTTAACGCCAAACTCTGCACTCTCCAGATATATGAGGCGGTCTTTAAATATGGTCAAATGTAACATATGTTATGTTTGGGATTACACTTTCTTAGTGAAGTACAGATTCTATTTTCAGTGGCATTCCAAACGGCAACGTTTCAGAATATTCGTCGGTGATTTAATAAAAAAAACCAGATACCCGTGATCTCTACTATGCTATTTTCTAACTTCTGTTCTCGAGTAATAATATATCTGATTTTCATATTTTGCAACAAACACACTAAAGACTGGTAATGGTACATTTTTCGTTGGTCATTTTCCCCAGTTTTCACAATTCTAGAATGACAATGGAATATCTTAAAATAAAATTGAAAGTGTACCGTGAACAAAATCAGGATTGAAAGGAATGATATACATCCTTCGTAATCACTCTCCTACCCAGAGTTCCATGCGGCCCGCATAGGTTGCTTAGTCACCATTGTGCAACAGTGTGTCTTCGTCATCACTGCATTATGAGGTCAGAATACCATGACGTCACAGACTTCAGTCAAGGCTCAAATGACGATTTGTAAGAACAATACAGGAAATGTTTCAAAGATTAATAAGTCGGGTCATTTTCAAGATTATGGCATACGATCCTCAAGAAATTACATAAGTATCAATAATAGCCGAGAACAGTGTCAATATTTTGAGTAACCTCCTCCAACTGCAATAACATCACTGACCCTCCACCTCATTGACATTATCAGAGGTTGGGTTTGACGTTGGGGCATTGCGTTTCATTCTTAAATGGAAGGCTTGTTTCATTCCATCAATATGTTTTACTGGAAGATCTCTGTGACCCATCATGCCTCAAACATGTACACGGTGTGACTAAGCATTGTCGTCCATAATGACTGACCTTGTGATCAGAGGATGGTCATTGACAGCAAAACCCTGTCTCAGAGGTCCAATCAGATTGTGTCTGATCGTCACATGGTTTGCTGATGTTTTCCGGCCAATCGGCTGACGGATTAAGGATGGCAATCTCTTGCAATAGCCCTCAGTGACATGAGCCATTGCCAGTTGACGAGACCCTATATTTGCTAATGTTCAACGAAGTCAATTGATTTTCAAGCAGTAAGATCAGTTTACTGAAAAATTATATTTGTTTAATGACGGATTCAAATGAATTTTCCCTAGCATATCTGCAAGCAACGTATGGTACACCTGAAGGGTCTACATCATCGTACAAACAAACAAAACTATGATATGCATATATAGGTTATATGTGGGTTAAACATCATAGGTGTAGCAATATTATTTCCAAGTGTATATTTGCATTAATTTGTTTCTGTTAAGATTCTGTGGAACGAATTGTGTACTGAGTACTACGCTTAGTTTGGGCAGGGAGAATAGAAGACGGATTGCTGTAGATTATCCCAGGTGAGGGAGAAAAGACTGCTTTGGAAATTTCTAGGCCTATTCCGGAATATTCCAGTGTAGTCTGCCCAGAGGGTTAGTGAGTTCAGTTCACCTAATAAACTATCCAAAAAAAGAAACGCATAGGTGTTTTTTATTTCTAAAAATCTATTAATTACCAATTGTGTTCAAACAATTGTCAAAATATGTAACAAAAGTGTTGATAACATGATTTTACACTATTGCAAAAGTGATAAATCGACTTTACCTGGAAATGTTGATTTTGATGAGATTTCTTACAAGAATTAAAAAGGCATCGCCACAATGCAACAGAAATCACCTTCCAGTTGAAATTGTGCAGCAAAGAGAATGCACTGTCTGACTATGAAAATCTAGATTACTTTCGGAAATCTGCATTCGTTTTGAAGGAGTTTCAAGGTCAAATCACTACGCCACGTCTTGACGCTGCGACACGGATCATCGCCATTGAAAGAATGCACACTGGAGATTACCAAGTTTCTGTTGCCAGGCGTCTGAATGTTAATCTGAGCACGCTATCACTGCTTGCAGCTCGTTACAACCAAACAAATATAACAAATGACCGTCCCCGTACAGGCAGACCTCGAGTCACCACTGCAGGCCAGGATCGGTACATCCGGGTGCTACATTTGCGTGGTCGTACTGCCACGGGTGAGAGCACAGCAGCCAGGGTGCCTGGACTTCGGAAGATATCCGGTCAAACTGTACTGAACAGGTTGAGAGAGATTGGACTGAGAGCCAGGAGACCCGACGTTATGACCATGCTACGTGGTCACCATCGCGCTCAACGTCTCCATTATCTAAAATTATCCACTTGGTTGTATAGACATTACCTTCTTCTAAACTGATGTAAATGCACTAAATTCCATTTGTGGACGAGTAAAACATGTTTGAAAATACAACATTTTCGCAACAGATTTCTGGTTTATGCGTTTCTTTTCTGGAATAGTATATGTGTAGTTACAAGAGGTGAGATTGGGTTTAACGTCGTGCTTGAGAATATTTCGCTCATATGACGACGTGCATGAGTGTGTATGTGTATGTGCGGCTGCTTGTACTAGCCCAGACTGAAGCAGGTTTTATAGTGCTAGCCCACTGAGATACCATGCTGCAGTGAAGCATGAATACCCCACTCAGACACATTATACTGACTCCGAGCCGACCTGGCTCACAGTTCCTGAACCACATTATTTCCCCTACACTGCCAAGATTTCCTCAGGTATCCCTGGAGCTCCTTTTCAATTTAAATGGGTTTGTTTATTACTATCAAAATTATATAGCTTCAGAGACTAAGCGTTAGTCTACCTGGCTACTTAGCAAACTCTATAGCTGTATTTATTGCTACAATCATTGCTTCTTTCTTATATTACCACCGCATTTGTGTTGCTGTTGACAGCCATTCAGGGGCGGGAACAGCTTTTTGAGAGGGGGTGGGGGGTTACACACTATTGAGAAAAGGAGGGGTGCACACTTCATTTTCACCCGAGTTTCAATGGTCATTTAACCAGGGATAATCGTCATATAGTCTCCCTGATTTAAAAAACTTTCTACACAAACCAACCCCTGGATCCGCCTGTGCCATAGTAGGAATTTCCTTTGTATAAATTCGTATTTATTTGAGTAGATGGCAACTTGTGGGCATGTAGTTCCTCTCAAACAGCACTTTTACACCCCTATCGTTTAATATGCGAGCGTCATGGGTAGAACCAGGCCACTTCGCGATCACATCCAAAATGTAATAATCGGCATCGAATACAATCTGTGTGTTGACGCTGTGATAATGTTTTCGGTTCACGTATTCTGCCTATGTTCTCGCGGTGCAATTATTCGAACATGTGTACCGTCAATGACACCAATGACGCCTGAGAAAGCTGCTATGTTCATGAACGCTGCTTGTTTTCTTTGTATTTCACGCACATGAACTGGGAATTGTATGAACTGCTTCACGATAGATGGCGATGTCAAAGCATTCAATGTATCATTGATGACACAGTTGATCGTGGACTGTGACGGTCCCAAGTCATCTCCATTGCTCATTTGCATTTTACCTGTTGCTAAATAGCGTAAGGTGATGGTAATTTTCAGTTCAGGTGCGATAGCGTCATTTCTTTCCGTGGGTGATTGCAAAGATTCTCTCACCAAATCTGTCAAAAATATGAATCCCGCTCGATCAAAACGGAATTTTTTGACTAATTCATTGTCATCGTAAAAAGTTGAAACGTCCTTACGTTCTCGAAAATGTCTGAGGTAACGGCTGCGTTGTCTAGCTGACGCCATTTTGTTGAGCTAAGAAATTTTCTTAGGTCCTCTGTGAGGACTCCTAACATTTGCTGACTCTAAAAGTACTCTTAAGAGAATAAAGGTTTTATAACTAGGTCTTAAGAAAATTCTGAAACTTAAGAGTAACTCTCACAAAATTCCAGTATTTTCTACACTTAGGAGTAACTTTTAATTCTTAGAATGTTTATAAATACGGCCCCAGGCTGTTGATCACTGGATTGTCATGGTCATTACTTGTTTATCCAAGGAGAATAGAAGACTAGATTATCCCTGGTTTATCTGAAATATTATCCCGCGGTTGCCATACTCATCACACAGTGTAAATGGAGCAGCGCTGTTGAGGAGTTCGCACGAGTCACATTATCAAACATTGTCACATGATCACCAGTGACCTGCTCCGAAATGTAGGCGTTCGACACATCTGGATCTTCAGCAGTTTCGTGACAGCCATGCATCTTGCGGAAGTGTTGCTGTTATGTGCATGTTGCACGGTTTTGTTAGCGAAGTCAAGTCGCCCGAACATTATTTTCATCCTCGCTGACGATTACGGATTCCATGATATCGGGTATCACAAGTCGGAGATAAAAACACCAAATCTTGACAAGTTAGCAGCAGCTGGGGTGAAGCTGGAAAACTACTATGTCCAGCCTATCTGCACCCCGACACGGTCCCAGTTCATGTCAGGGAGGTACCAGGTGAGTCAGAGTCAGTCATACCCTTACTGGTTATAAAGTGTGCAGACGACAACCTGTCTGGAGTGGGGAGGTAGGGGGTCACCAATAATTTTGTACACATGTACGGTGTGTGTGTGCGTGCGTGCGTGCGTGCGTGCGAGCGTGCGTGTGTGTGTGCAATTTTGTACATAACAATATTAAAAAACATTTGCTGATAAATTAGGTGGGGCGGGAATTGGGTTTAGTGTGCAGGTAGGGTGTGTCACTTACGTTGTACATAAAATTTAGAAGGGTCATTCATATTGTGCATGCTTCTCCATACAAATGATCTTCATATCTCTCTCTCTCTCTCTCTCTCTCTCTCTCTCTCTCTCTCTCTCTCTCTCTCTCTCTCTCTCTCTCTCTCTCTCTCTCTCTCTCTCTCTCTCTCTCTCTCTCTCTCTCTCTCTCTCACACACACACACCATAAATTATGCACAGCTTTTCAGGGCAACTTTTTGCTTCCTTCATTTATGGCTTGGCAGAATGGAAAATAATGCGGTTCACGGTCTGTGAGACCTATTTATCCTCATGATCACAGTTTGTATTTCTTTTGGTTTGAATCAGAACTGACTGACTGACTGAAGACGTTCAGACACGAATGTCTGCACATGGATTGTTTTCATTTTCTGAACAGAATTATCAGCTGGATGTTACAAAAATGCTTGTTTCAAATCAATTAGCTTCCATAATTTCACTGTCCAACTCACTTCAGGGGAGTACAGTGGATTTAATCTGCATGATTTCTTGATTATTGTGTTCATATGAAATACTGAAGAGGAGACAAGGAAACAAACAAGGATTGGTACTTGATGTGTTTGATCAGGGAGACTATATAACGTGTTGTAGAGTAGCCCTGGTTTGATGAAGGTATCAAGGTTGTGATTTGGACCTTAAGGTTGCAGTGTTTCAGCAAATATTTTCAGGCTAGTATGATTGTTTTCATAACATTGTAATTTAGGATTCAAATCCTATTTCAGGTGTATAGTTTCTTTATGTTCTGTCGGTAAAACACTGTAAAGACTATGTATTCAGCGGCGTCCGTCTGTCGGTACGTCCCGATTCTTGTTATTTGGTCACCGCGACACTTTGACCACTTTTCAATCTTAATTAAACACGATATCTCATAAAACATTGCACCCAATGTTTTCAATTATGTCGACAGTCTACATTGGGTGATTATGCAGACACCAGTCATTTCAGGCATCTTGTATGTGACCAAAAAATAAAAAGTAGTAAATATGTTATAAATATTCCATTCTTTATCGGTGGGGACATTGGCATATCGGTGTAAAAACTCGTTTCTTATTTAACGCAGCACTGAGCAATAATCAAGCTACACTGCGGCGTTTTGTAAATAACCTAACCAGACAATCCAGCGATCAACGTCATGAACATTGATCTACACAACTGGGATATGCAGTCGTGTCAACCACGTGTTTGTGAGCCTGACCATCTCTTTTGTCTGTTTTCAGATTCACACAGGTTTACAACACGGCATCATCTGGGGTTCTCAGCCCAATGGCCTCCCTCTGGATAGTCCCACAGTAGCCGACAAGATCAAACAGGCCGGCTACTCCACCCATGCTGTCGGCAAATGGCATCTGGGTTTCTACAAGGATGCCTACCTGCCTACCAATCGGGGATTTGATTCATACTATGGTGAGGAAAGATGTCAACTGTTTGTTTTGTTTTGTTTGTTATTTGTTTGTGGCAATCAGCAATATATCCAGCTGTATCGTGTCAGTGTGGAAATAGTCGAGTGTAGACCAGACAACCCGGTGATTGACGTCATGAGCATCAACACAATATGAATGTGATGGCCTGTTAACCAAGTCAACCACCCAATCCTATTTGTCACCAGCTATGACAAGCAAGGTTTGCTGAAGACCCATTCTAACACAGATTTTCATGGGTCTAAATTGTAGGTGTGGCTAGTTATCTGTGAAATAAATGAAAAACCGTGATTACCCCATATCTGAAGCAATTGAAATTCATTTCTGGTGTCCCGTCGTGATATTGCTAGAATATTGCCTAAAGCGGTGTAAATCCATTCACTCACTCACTCACTCACTCACTTGCTCGCGCACCCGCCCACTCATTCACTCACCCACCCATTGTTGTATACAATTTGTGTAGACAAACCACATGTTTTTAGTATATCAGTTTATTTACCAAACATCACCTTTTTATTTGACCTAACCCTTTATATATCTAATCTTAACAACTTACAGGCTATCTGACAGGCAGCGAGGACTACTTCACACACAAACTTTGCGACAACCACTTTTCCAGATACCTGTTTTGTGGCCTTGACTTACGTAACAATACAAACCCAGTTTTCAATGAGACTGGCCACTATTCAACGTCTCTGTTTACGGAGAGGGCCATCAGTGTGATCAAGGATCATATTGAGTCTAAAGTAGGTGCAAGTTCCATCGAGAGTATTTCATGTCAACATAATAACAATAATACTAATAATAATAGTCCATTTATTTTGTGCATTTATCCATGCACATTGCATGCTCAAAGCGCTCACATATCACCCCTGGTCAACGAGTACAGAACACTCCATGTGGAGAATACAACCTGTCGCCTGTCAGGCGCTCAAGGTTCAAATTCAGACTACCATCGTATCATACCAGGTACCTTTTTTCTGCTGGGTGAACAGAGGCATTTTTTTTAACAAACCCACTTGCCTAAGGTGAGACCACATGTATCACATGCGTTTCGTTGTGGGGTAAGACTGAAGTCCTAGAACTCTCAGGAGTCGAGCTGCCAAACACGGTCACCCATCCAAGAACTCTCCATGCTCAGCATTGCTTAACTTCAACTGATTTGTGACCTGAGCTCTATGCACAGGACCACATCTTGTAATTAATGCACCAATGTCTGTGTGGTGACCTTGTCCGCCAGTTTATGTACTGTGTCAACTTCATTGTCTTCAGGGCGGTGGGGTAGTCTAGTGGTTAAAGCGTTGGCTCGTCACGCCGAAGACCCGGGTTCGAATCCCCACATGGGTACAATGTGTAAAGCCCATTTCTGGTGTCCCCCTCCGTGATGTAGCTGGAATATTGCTAAAAGCGGCGTAAAACCAAACACAGTCAGTCAGTCAGTCAGTCAGTCATTGTCTTCAAATTTTGATGGAGCCTCTGACGTGTATTACTTGTGTTCAAAGGCATATACACATGGAACAAAGTATTGCAACATCCCATATTCTTCATAGTATCAATATGTTACCATTAACCACAGCAAAGGAATTTATCCAAACCTCAGTTTAACTTACTGTCTGGATACATTGACTTTCAGCGAATAATTAAATGGCAAATCTTAAGTAAAAAAGCATGAAAAACAGTAGCTTATTGAGAGAAGGAAACATGGAAAAGGATTGACTCATTCTGTAGTGCAATGTCGTATGACGTTAACAAGTGCGCTCATTTTCATGATTTGGATATACAATCCTCAAAAATCACAAAAGTAATAACATCCCTGACCCTCCTGACTGATTGTATCAGATGTGGAATTTGACGTTGTGGTATTGTGTTCTATTCTTCATGGAGGGCTTGTTCTAATACATCAATATTTTGTATCTCATAAAGTCCCAAACATGGGATTTAGGATCTAGACTCCTGGTGGTCCAAGGTAGAGTTGCTACCATCTCTTGACGTGAGAAATCACCAAGGACATGCGCACGATGTGGCATAGCAAGTGTCATCCTTGAAGACTGTTTAGAGGATGGCCATCACATGTGGTACAACAACCAAAAAACAGAAATGATATTGTTATAGTACTTGTTTTAAATTTAGTTGTTTTTTTAAATATAATTTGCTTTCAAGCGTGACTTTGTGTATATAATATACTTGTGTACATGTGTTAACTTGGTCTTGTTGCTATATAGCTGAAATAGGCTTATAGCTCATGTGATGTTAAATTTGAACTCACCCACTACTTTGATAGTGGTAATTTTCTTGTAGGCTCATCATGTTTTTGTTTCTTGTTTGCAGCCATTTTTCCTGTACCTCGCCTATCAGTCTACGCACTCACCTCTGCAGGTCCCAGGGAAATATTTGAATCCGTACAGCCACATCAAGGACTTGAACAGGCGCAGTTTTGCCGGTAATATGGTCACTGTTAAACCTGACATATTCAGTAGGTAGTCCAGTGTATGGCCTCTTTCTCCTCACACAGAGTGACATGGGTTCTAATCTGTTTTTACCAATATGTCTGATATATCATGACTTGTCATTTTCTAACTTTCCTTGATCGGCAGTATGCTTCATCATTAGGAAAAGAGTTGATCTGACAAAATATTGAACATTTTGCTGTTGTCCTATTGAAGCAGTGTTTGTTGGACAAACTTACCTCTTATGAATTTTTTTAGTAAAACTTCATTTATAATTTAGTCAGCCAATCTTCATATGATAATAGTGAATGTTTGAAGGTGCATCACCACTTGCACTTCCTTATGACCATAGTTGTTTGTACAGTAATTGTTCTTTAAAGATGATTGGTGCATGACGTGAAATTTGCATGTGTACGATTGTCGTTTTCAAACAAAACAATGGCTAGGAACAAACACTAACAACTGTGTGATGCAAGATGATTGTCAAAATTAATGGTTTAAAGTGATTTATCAACCTTCTTGAAAACCGTCAAAATCAAGAACGACACCCCATGCACGTGTATGGGGCGACTGCGTTGTGCACGTGCATCTCATGCGTTGTGTTTAAGGGTGACGATTTTGAGAAATGGTGGTGCGTTCATAAGATATCTGTCTTTGAAAAGTTTGTTAACGCTTATCATCCTATCCAAATTGAAAGTTCACGTTCCCTTACTATTTTTGAAGAGTATAGATGCCTGATGACCAACAGTATTAACCCGTGAAGATCCAGGTTAGAATATTGATCTTCACTAACCCATGCTTCTTGTAAGAGGCAACTAACGGGATCGGGTGGTCAGGCTCGCTGGCTTGGTTGACACATGTCATCGGTTCCCAATTGCGAAGATCGATGCTCATGCTGTTGATCACTGGACTGTCTGGTCCAGACTCGATTATTTACAGACCGCCGCCATATAGCTGGAATATTGCTGAGTGCGGTGTAAAACTAAACTCACTCACTCACTCACCAACAATGTGAGGTGTTGATAAATCAGTTGTGTTCTTATTCACATGATCCGGCTGTCAACAAAAAAAACCGTATAGGGCCCAGTTCCACGAAACGATCTTGGAGCTAAAGTGATTGTAACACACATACCTCAGCATCGACTTATGATCATCATAGCTATTACGATCACATTGTGCAATGGGGCCCAGATGTTTATCGTTTACATGTTTTTAACTTCAAGGGATGACTGCATGTATGGACGAGGGGATCGGAAACATCACTGCAGCTCTCAATGCTACTGGCCAGCTTGAGAATACTCTCATTGTCTTCTCCACAGGTAAGTAATATTTTATTAGAGTTGAATCACAAACAGTGATGACTTTCAGACCTTAGTTAATAAATTAGGAGATAAACATCATGTGTTGGACAATTTCCGGGTGTTATTGAGTATTTGAAGCACGTGAATTCATTTGGAACCGACGGCGTCAGCCGGAGGTTTCAAATGGAATATTCCCGTGCTTCAAATACTCAATAACACCCGGAAATTGGCCAACACATGATGTTTATCGACATTGTAAACACAAAAGTAAACCAAAAGGTCCACACACGTTTTTGTGTCTGCACTCATTGACACGGGTACAGCAGTGCAATGTCGGCTGTCTCCCATGGTAGCATCTAGAACTGCTCATTTGTGACGTCATTCGGACTTTACGTCACAATAAGATTTGAATGACGTCATCTCAGCTGACGACGTAACAATACAATGGTGTGAGCGATGTTTGTATGTATTTAAAATACGCAGCGAATTTCCGGGAATCGAATATCATTTGATCACGTTTTTCAACCAATCAGATTAAAGAACACAGTGACTTTTGGTTTACAATGTTTTATGGGCACACAACTGGTGTGAACGCAGGTTTTCAGTGAAATATCATGGATTTAAATAGAACCCAAACAAAGTGTCTTCGGTAAAATTTGATTTTCTTTCTTTTGGTAAATTCTGAGGTAGTGGGAATTTCATATTCAAACTTGGAATTTCTACTGTAATTTACGTCAGGACTGTTGTTTAATGCTGCCCTCACAATATTCCAGCTGTATGGTAGCGGTCTGTAAATAATCGAGTCAGAACAATCTAGAACCAGACAATCTAGTGATCAACACTATGAGCATCGATCTCATACAATGGGATACAATGACATGTGACAACGAAGTTAGAGAGCCTAAACCCCCTTTTCCCCAACACACCTCGATTATCACGTTAGTTTTATGACAAGCATAGGTTGTTTGTGGGTTTGTTTAAGCTTGTAGACTAGAAGATTTGTATTTGAGGATGTGGTAGAATTATGCGAGTCTACTAATTATTCATGAGGGTCCTGACAAAGTACTTGTGTTTCAGACAATGGTGGTCAGATCCACGCAGGGGGAAACAACTGGCCACTGAGGGGGTGGAAGGCGTCGTTATGGGAAGGGGGATTCCATGGTGTGGGCTTTGTGTATGGTGATATGCTGAAGAACAAAGGAACTGTCAATAATCAACTGATCCATGTCTCTGATTGGTTCCCAACATTGGTGGGTGTGGCTGGCGGGAACACCAATGGAACAAAGCCTCTGGATGGTTTTGACCAATGGAAGACCATCAGGTACGCTGGTATCTATGTAGAGTTTGAAAATTATGCGCAAATGCATACTGTAAGGAAGCACACACAAAATATCTAAATCATCATCATCATCATCATCATCATCAACAATATCAGTTGAGTATATGGTGAAAATATAGCGTAGTCTGTCTCCCAAACCCTTGAGAATAAATTAAATACAAGACCAGCTCAAGGCAAAGATCAATTGGCAAGTCCAAACTGCCTCCTGAAAATACGGATTGTTCAGGGCTCTATTTGGATTTGTTTTGAAGATAAAAATATTTCTTAATTTTAATATTGTCATTCAAGCAAAGGGCATATGGCTGTTTGAATGTTGAGACGTGTTGTGTGTAATTTGTGTGTTGTTTGATGGTTGTATCAAATATGACTTGTTCAAATGATTTAAATTTCTGTGTTAAATTTAGACATGTTAGCGTAAATGTCCCACCAATGAAGTATGAATTTGAAACCTTTTGCTTACAATTTATATGCTTGGAAAAAGGAGGTCTCTTCAGTAGTATATGTCACAATGACAGCAATGTTTACTTGCTTACACAACAAGGGAAAGTCTTACATCAATTTGCCATTGTTCCAGTGAAGGTGGAGCCAGTCCGAGGAAGGAGCTCCTACACAACATTGACATTTTGACACATCCCAAGGGAGCTAAGCTTTTTAACAACACCTTCGACACACGGATCAGAGCAGCTATACGACTTGGAGACTGGAAGCTCATCACAGGAGATCCCGGTTTGTGGACACTCACTGATTAATACTGTAGGGTGGTAGGGGAGCCTAGTGGTTAAGGTGTTTGTTCGTCACGCCGAACACCCGGGTTCGATGCCCCATGGGCACAATGTGTGAAGCGCATTTCTACTGTCTCCTGCTGTGATATTACTGGAATACTGCTAAAAGCGCAAAACTAAACTCACTCAATTAATACTGTAGCTGGTGACAGGTGTCAGACTACGGATACACAATGACATTTAGAAAGTGGTCAAATGTAATATATGTTCTATTTGGTATTACAGTTTCTCAGTAAAGTACAGATTTTAGTACTTGTTTTGTTTGAGACTTGACAAAGGGGTGCACATGATTTTAGTCAAGGTGCTGTAGTAAGTTCATGCTCTTTGTGAGGTAGGACACGTTTTATTACAATCTTGATTAATGAACGTACCGTTTTGGGCAGTGCCACCATTTTATTTACTTTGGTAAGTAATATCAAGAAAGGGATCTGATTGGCCAAGAGGGATATAAGTTATAATAGCCACTGGTTGGGCTATGGTTGAGGTGTGAAATTCCAGGCTAATTTGACAAGGGTGGACGTTTGTAGACAGTTACCTCCCTTACCCGAGGAAGACAGTTCCAGCGCAAAACTGATGAAATAAAAGTTTATGTATGACTTATGTGATGAAATGTTCCTGTACTTAAGATAATAACTAACTAAGGTTCACTATAAGCATTTATACTCTTAACAAGTAGCATTAATGTAAAATATGCCAGTAGAGTGATCTCCCTTGGCTCCTGTGTACTGGCTACAATGCTCGTAGTTCGTATAAGGGACCTTTTAAACAGAAGTCCTTGTTTCATTGCAAGTTTTAAGACAACTTCCATGTCATCACTCACACAGTCTCCTCCATCCTCAGGAAACGGCAGCTGGATTCCGCCGCCACATCTCAGTAAGGAGACGGTTATGGACAAGGATGATAAGGCGAAGAATCTTTGGCTGTTTGACATCGCAAAGGACCCAAATGAACACAATGACTTGTCAGCATCACAACCAGGCATTGTTAAGAAGCTTCTGGACCGACTAGAGTACTACCAGAAAACAGCAATACCCCGCAGGTACCCTGATCCTGACCCCAAGTGTGACCCCAAACTACATGGAGGGGTGTGGGGGCCGTGGGAGTAAACATAACTTACTCTACAGTAGAGTAGGTGGTTTAGGTTGTCTCTGATTTGGGTTAACATCCCGGAATAAACTATAATTGATTAACTGACAAGACAACCCTAATTAACACTGAAAGCCCCTTTTATATATGCTTCTATGTACTCCTTTTAAATGTGACTTGATAAGTCTTGAACATATCATTGGAATTAGCTTTGAAGATCAGATCTTTAGACGGAGCTTGCAGCTATTTTGGAAGATAATTCAACTTTATTTGCCTGATATGTTGAATGTAACTGGGACCTTCTTCATCTGGCTGCTCAGTACAACGTCTTTTGATTGGTAGCTCAATCCTATGGAATGTAGCTTGGGTCATTTTCGTTGATCACTCGATCGTTTGGAATGTAGCTTGGGTCAGCTTTCGTTTGTAGGTCAGTCCTTTAGAATTTAATATATTCGTATAGTAGTTTGAAGATTCTTCAAATATTTATTGTCTCAGTTGGTAAATATATATTTTCTAAATTGTCTCCCCGACATCAGTTAATTAGAAGATAAAGCTACTCTGTTTTCAATTTTGCGGTCCTTTATCGTTGATTTAAGACCGCTAAATGTAATTTATAAACCGAACGCGTCAAGAAGTTCATTGTATTCATACGCGGTGAATCGGTCTCTTTAATTAGAGGTCCTTAAACTGCCATTTAAGTACGGGTTTGATGAGCTCTCAGCCAATCCGAATTGAGTATCACACAGTGTAGTGCTAGAATAACGGATTGACTGTTTATATTACTTCCTTGTCAGTTGTTTAATATGAGGGTAGTTATGAGACATCATTCTTTATAATTTGATACTTTTATACACATACCTTTTATATTTTTAATTATGCTTATATCATGGTATATTTCATATTTTTAAATGAGGGGAAACACATATGGGTGATTGGTGTGTGTATCCATGGCTTTGGAGGAAACTCTAGCTTGTATTCTCACACCATGGTCTGAGAATGGTGATAATACTTGTATGTATTCAGTATTCTTGAAGAAATCATACTTAACCATTTACTTAATACACTTAAATCATTGATCCAAACATTATTCATCTTTTCTATAGGAGATGTTATGTCACAAGCGTCCATGACATACTTTTATGATATTGCCACATAGATACTGATGCTTGGCCAAATGTAATTGATTGGCAGCATGCATGTAAATGTAACATATCAAAGAGATTAATGTAGTAACGAGGGAAAGATATTTTATACATTCAGGCTGAATGCAATTAGAGGCTAAAATTTGAAGCAAAAGATGTCAACCAACAATATTTCCACAGTGGAAATATTTTGTTTTGACTGTCTGAATTTTTCATGACATGGGCAAGATACAATTTGTGTGTTGTTCTATTTTATTGTTGTGGTTCACATGTGTACATTTCAGAGACTCAGCAATCTGAGATTTCAAATTACATTAATCACCTCTAATTACTTACAGTTATCTCACTGCACCTATGACATTGGGCTTCAGAAGTTCACAAGATAAGATAGACAGTAACACTTCAGACCTCTGATTACAATATTTTTGTTATTATGTGCATCATAGATTAATACAAGATTGATGAATACTGCTTGTTTTATTAATCTATATGGAGTACAAAATGATACAAAAACTTTTTTTCTTTTATTTAGAGAATCGTCTATTGTTGTATAGTCTCAGTCAACTTTATTGATTAAATAATCCATCAAGTCTCCATTCAGGTGATAGCATAAATGAGTTATTCAGGAGCTGTTAAAATATCTTGTTATTAGTTATTAATAGTATTGATGTAGAGGATATGTTAGTCATTTTTCACTTATGGTAATTCTTCCTAGTTAATTTTTGTCACACAATATTTTTATACAGAAACACACTTAACTAAGAATGCATGTGTATAATGTTTATGGATTAAGTTATGCTTTATTTGGGGTTATAAACCAAATAATCTTACCTTTATATCTGGCATGACCTATATTTATTTTTGGTATACATGTATTTGAAACTGTACATGACATTGGATCAACAGAAATGTCAAGATGTATATCTATTTGTATATAATTTGTATTTAAAAAACCTGGGTGCAGGTTTAAAACAAAGCTTTGAGGTGCCTTACTTAGATTTAAGTGCTAACATTTTATTTACAGTGCCAAAATGATCTAATCTTGAGCAGGGGCGTAGCTACCATTATTAAAAAAAAGCCTGGGCTTACACATGATTTTTGCTAAAGATCACCTTGAAAGTTCGAGAAGTCCCAATACTATCTAAATATAGACCTTTGCAACCTATGGGGCTTACATGATGCCTTTTGAGCATTTTACTGAAACTTGTACAACCACTACAAATGACATGTTCATTGTATTGACAATAAATATGATTAAACCAATTTGGTGTTCATGTCAATTTACAGGACAAGTGTGACATTTCATGACTGCATAATAGATTTTATTGTTCTACATTCATCAGTTGTAATTCTAAGGTGTTTGATTTTTAACATCACCCTCAGCAATATTCCAGCTATATGGTGGAGGTCTTTAACTAATTAAGTCTGGACCAGACAATCCAGTGATCAACATCATGGGCATCAATCTATGCAATTGGGATACAATGACATGTGTCAACCAAGTCCGTAGGGTTGCTGAAGACCTATTCTAACCCGGATGTTCAGGGGTTGTGATTCTAGGAGGATGGAGAAGCCTTAGAATGACTCTTAGAAGTGGTGAAAGAGAAAGCATATACTCTGGAACATAGTTTTCCTTAAATTTAAAAGGTCGATACCACAACTTCTCTCCTTAAAGGTTATGTACTTGTACAATATTGACAAACCTTATGGATAACAAGTTCTTTGCTTTTGTGGGTGCAATGTAATTCCTGCTTGGCAACAGAACAAGAATCTGTATCGAAACGTGGCACTCACGAAGTAAATTCCTGCTTGACAACGGTAAAGTAATCTGTATGGGCTAAAGAATCTGTATAGAAACTTTATTTCTTTCAAAGATCAATGCTCGTTCCCTAAGGAACATTCGAACCCTCACCCTCAGAGTCAGGCACCTAATCGCCAGCACACAAAGTCAGACGCCTAACCCGCTCAGTGGACGACTTTGTGTGCTGGCGATTAGGTGCCCGACTCTGAGAGTACTAGAATCTGTACTTTACTAAGAAAGTGTAATCTCAAATATGGCACATGTTATATTTGACCAGCATCACGATCTATGCATTTGGGAACCGATGACATGTGTCAACCAAGTCAGTGAGCCTGACCACCCGATCCCGTTAGTTGCCTCTTAAGACAAGCATGGTTACTGAAGACCCATTCTTACCCGGATATTAACAAGTTATACACTATCGAATATAGTGAGTGAGTGAGTTTAGTCTTACGCCGCTTTACGCAGTATTCCAGCAATATCACGGCGGGGGACAGCAGAAATGGACTTCACACACTGTACCCATGTGGGGAATCGAACCCTCGAATATAGCAAAAAGCGTTCGCGTTTGCGTATTTTCAGTAGTATTCCAAACGGCAACGTTTCAGAATATTCGTTGGTGATTTAATTAAAAACACCCAGATACCCGTGATCTCTACTATGCTATTTTCTAACTTCTGTTCTCGAGTATTAATTTATCTGATTTTCATATTTTGCAACAGACACACTAAAGGCTATGGTAATGTGTCGAAAACAGAGAGATTTGCGATGTACATTTTCGTTGGTCATTTTCCCCAGTTTTCACAATTCTAGAATGACAATGGAATATCTTAAAATAAACAATTGAAACTGTACCGTGAACAAAATCAGGATTGAAGAGGAGGAAGGATATACATTCTTCGTAAACACTCTCCTACCCAGAGTTCCATGCGGCCCGCATAGGTTGCTTAGTCACCATTGTGCCAGAGTGTGTCTTCGTCATCACTGCATTATGAGGTCAGAATACCATGACGTCACAGACTTCAGTCAAGGCTCAAATGACGATTTGTTACAACACACTATTGAGAAAAGGAGAGGTGCACACTTCATTTTCACCCGAGTTTCAATGGTCATTTAACCAGGGATAATCGTTATATAGTCTCCCTGATTTAAAAAACTTTCAACACAAAAGGGGGAGTGCCTAAAAAGTTAAAACGTCCTTACGTTCTCGAAAATATCTGAGGTGACGGCTGCGTTGTCTAGCGGCCGCCATTTTGTTGAGTTAAGAAAATTCTTAGGTAGACTTAGGAGTCCACTGTGAGGGCTCCTAACATTTGCTGACTCTAAGAGTACTCTTAAGAGTAAAGAATAAAATAATGAAACTTAAGATTAACTCTCACAAAAATCTCAGTATTTTCTACACTTAGGAGTAACTTTTAATTCTTAGAATTTTTATAAATACGGCCCCAGGCTGTTGATCACTGGATTGTCTCGTCATTACTCGATTATTTACAGAAAATACATGTACTGTCTGTTTATCCAGGGAGAATAGAAGACTGTAGATTATCCCTGGTTTATCTGAAATATTATCCCCCGGTTGCCATACTCATCACACAGTGTAAATGGAGCAGCGCTGTTGAGGAGTTCGCACGAGTCACATTATCAAACATTGTCACATGATCACCAGTGACCTGCTCCGAAATGTAGGCGTTCGACACATCTGGATCTTCAGCAGTTTCGTGACAGCCATGCATCTTGCAGAAGTGTTGCTGTTATGTTCATGTTGCACTGTTTTGTCAGCGAAGTCAAGTCGCCCGAACATTATTTTCATCCTCGCTGACGATTACGGATTCCATGATATCGGGTACCACAAGTCGGAGATAAAAACACCAAATCTTGACAAGTTAGCCGCGGCTGGCGTGAAGCTGGAAAACTACTATGTCCAGCCTATCTGCACCCCGACACGGTCCCAGTTCATGTCATGGAAGTACCAGGTGAGTCAGTCATACCCTTACTGGTTATAAAGCGTGCAGACGACAACCCAGGAACATGTCTGGTGTGGGGAGGTAGGGGGTCACCAATAATTTTGTAAACATGTACGGTGTGTGTGTGCGTGCGTGCGTGCGTGCGTGTGTGTGTGCAATTTTGTACATAACAATATTAAAAAACATTTGCTGATAAATTAGGTGGGCCGGGAATTGGGTTTTGTATGCAGGTAGGGTGTGTCACTTACTTTCTACATAAAATTTAGAAGGGTCATTCATATTGTGCATGCTTCTCCATAAAAATCATCATCATATCACACACACACACACACACACACACAAACACACACTAACCATAAATTATGCACAGCTTTTCAGGGCAACTTGTTGCTTGCTTCATATATGGCTTTAGTATTGCAGAAGCTTGGCAGAATGGAAAATAATGCGGTTCAGGGTCTGTGAGACCTGTTTATCCTCATGATCACAGTTTGTATTTCTTTTGGTTTGAATCAGAACTGAGTGACTGACTGAAGACGTTCAGACACGAATGTCTGCACATGGATTGTTTTCATTTTCTGAACAGAATTATCAGCTGGATGTTACAAACATGCTTGTTTCAAATTAATTACCTTCCATAATTTCACTGTACAACTCACTTCAGGGGGAGTACAGTGGATTTAATCTGCATGATTTCTTGATTATTGTGTTCATATGAAATACTGGAGAGGAGAAAAGGAAACAAACAAGGATTGGTACTTGATGTGTTTGATCAGGGAGACTATATAACGTGTTGTAGAGTAGCCCTGGTTTGATGAAGGTATCAAGGTTGTGATTTGGACCTTATGGTTGCAGTGTTTCAGCAAATATTTTCAGGCTAGTAAGATTGTTTTCATAACATTATCATTTGGGGTTCAAATCCTATTTCAGGTGTTTAGTTTCTTTATGTTTTGTCGGTAAAACACTGTAAAGACTATATATTCAGCGGCGTCCGTCTGTCGGTATCCCGATTCTTGTTAACGCGATATCTCATGAACTGTTGTATCCAATGTCTTCAAATTTAGTGACAGCCTACACTGGGGGGTTACGCAGACACCAGTCGATTTGGGTGACCTTGACCTTATCTTCAAGGTCACCACGACACTTTGAACACTTTTCAATCTTAATTAAACACGATATCTCATAAAACTCGCACCCAATGTTTTCAATTATGTCGACAGTCTACATTGAGTGATTATGCAGACACCAGTCATTTCAGGCATCTTGTATGTGACCAAAAAATAGAAGGTAGTAAATATGTTATAAATATTCCATTCTTTATCGGCGGGGGACATTGTCATATCAGTGGCAAACACTTGTTTCTTATTTAACGGAGCACTGAGCAATAATCAAGCTACACGGCGGCGTTTTGTAAATAACCAAACCAGACAATCCAGTGATCAGCGTCATGAACATTGATCTACACAACTGGGATATGCAGTCGTGTTTGTGAGCCTGACCATCTGTTTTGTCTGTTTTCAGATTCACACTGGTTTACAACACGGTATCATCTGGGACGCTCAGCCCAATGGCCTTCCTCTGGATAGTCCCACAGTAGCAGACAAGATCAAACAGGCCGGCTACTCCACCCATGCTGTCGGCAAATGGCATCTGGGCTTCTACAAGGATGCCTACCTGCCTTCCAATCGGGGATTTGATTCATACTATGGTGAGGAAAGATGTCAACTGTTTGTTTTGTTTTGTTTGTTATTTGTTTGTGGCAATCAGCAATATATCCAGCTGTATCGTGTCAGTGTGGAAATAGTCGAGTGTAGACCAGACAACCCGGTGATTGACGTCATGAGCATCAACACAATATGAATGTGATGGCCTGTTAACCAAGTCAACCACCCAATCCTATTTGTCACCAGCTATGACAAGCAAGGTTTGCTGAAGACCCATTCTAACACAGATTTTCATGGGTCTAAATTGTAGGTGTGGCTAGTTATCTGTGAAATAAATGAAAAACCGTGATTACCCCATATCATCTTGAAGCTGAAGCAATTGAAATTCATTTCTGGTGTCCCGTCGTGATATTGCTAGAATATTGCCTAAAGCGGTGTTAATCCATTCACTCACTCACTCACTCATTCACTAACCCACCCATTGTTGTATACAATTTGTGTAGACAAACCGCATGTTTTTAGTATATCAGTTTATTTACCAAACATCACCTTTTTATTTGACCTAACCCTTTATATATCTAATCTTAACAACTTGCAGGCTATCTGACAGGCAGCGAGGACTACTTCACACACATACGTTGCGACAACCACGATTCCAGATACTCGTTTTGTGGCCTTGACTTACGTAACAATACAAACCCAGTTTTCAATGAGACTGGCCACTATTCAACGTATCTGTTTACGGAGAGGGCCATCAGTGTGATCAAGGATCATGATGAGTCCAAAGTAGGTGCAAGTTCCATCGAGAGTATTCCATGTCAACATAAAAATAATAATATCAATAATAATAGTACATTTATTTTGTACATTTAGCCATGCACATTGCATGCTCAAAGCGCTCACATATCACCTCTGGTTAACGAGTACAGAACACTCCATACTGAGAACCAAACTCAGTCAGTCACTGTCTTCAAGTTTTGATGGAGCCTCTGACGTGTATTACTTGTGTTCAAAGGCATATACACATGGAACAAAGTATTGGAACATCCCATATTCTTCATAGTATCAATATGTTACCATTAACCATAGCAAAGGAATTTATGCAAACCTCAGTTTAACTTACTGTCTGGATACATTGACTTTCAGCGAATAATTAAATGGCAAATCTTAATTAAAAAAGCATGAAAAACTGTAGCTTATTGAGAGAAGGAAACATGGAAAAGGATTGACTCATTCTGTAGTGCAATGTCGTATGACGTTAACAAGTGCGCTCATTTTCAAGATTTGGATATACAATCCTCATAAAATCACATAAGTAATAACATCCCTGACCCTCCTGACTGATTGTATCAGATGTTGAATTTGACGTTGTTGTATTGTGTTCTATTCTTCATGGAGGGCTTGTTCTAATACATCAATATTTTGTACCTCATAATGTCCCAAACATGGGATCTGGACTCCTGGTGGTCCAAGGTAGAGTTGCTACCATCTCTTGACGTGAGAAATCACCAAGGACATGCGCACGATGTGGCATAGCAAGTGTCATCCTTGAGGATGGCCATCAAATGTGGTACAACAACCAAAAAACATAAATGATATTGTTATAGCACATGTTTTAAATTTTTATTTTTTTAAAATAAAATTTGCTTTCAAGTGTGACTTTGTGTATATAATATACTTGTGTACATGTGTTAACTTGGTCATGTTGCTATATAGCTGAAATAGGCTTATAGCTCATGTGATAGATACTTTGATAGTGGTAATTTTCTTGTAGGCTCATCATGTTTTTGTTTCTTGTTTGCAGCCATTTTTCCTGTACGTCGCCTATCAGTCTACGCACGCACCTCTGCAGGTCCCAGGGAAATATTTGAATCCGTACAGCCACATCAAGGACTTGAACAGGCGCAGTTTTGCCGGTAATATAGTCACTGTTAAACCTGACATATTCAGTAGGTAGTCCAGTGTATGGCCTGTTTCTCCTCACACAGAGTGACTTGGGTTCTAATCTGATTTTACCAATATGTCTGCTATATCATGACTTGTCATTTTCTAACTTTCCTTGATCGGCAGTATGCTTCACCATTAGGAAAAGAGTTGATCTGACAAAATATTGAACATTTTGCTGTGGCCCTAGGTAAGCAATGTTTGTTCGACAAACTTACCTCTTATAAATATTTTTAGTAAAACTTCATTTATAATTTAGTCAGCCAATCTTCATATGATAATATTGAATGTTTGAAGGTGCATCACCACTTGCACTTCCTTATGACCATAGTTATTTGTACAGGAATCGCTCTTTAAAGATGATTGGTGCATGACGTGAAATTTGCATGTGTACGATTGTCGTTTTCAAACAATAAAATGGCTAGGAACAAACACTAACAACTGTGTGATGCAAGATGATTGTCAAAATTAATGGTTTACAGACTGCGTTGTGCACGTGCATCCCATGCGTTGTGTTTAAGGGTGACGATTTTGAGAAATGGTGGTGCGTTCATAAGATATCAGTCTTTGAAAAGTTTGTTAACGCTTATCTTCCTATCCAAATTGAAAGTTCAATTTCCCTTAGTATTTTTGAAGAGTATAAATGCCTGATGACCAACAATATCAACCCGTGAAGATCCGGGTTAGAATATTGATCTTCACTAACCCATGCTTGTTGTAAGAGGCGACTAACGGGATCGGGTGGTCAGGCTCCCTGGCTTGGTTGACACATGTCATCGGTTCCCAATTGTGTAGATCGATGCTCATGCTGTTGATCACTGGACTGTCTGGTCCAGACTCCATTATTTACAGACCGCCGCCATATAGCTGGAATATTGCTGAGTGCGGCGTAAAACTAAACTCACTCACTCACCAACAACGTGAGGTGTTGATAAATCAGTTGTGTTCTTATTCACATGATCCGGCTGTCGACAAAACAACGTATAGGGCCCAGTGGGCCCGTAAGTAGGTCACGGGGCAATGCGAGAATCGACGTGATTACCTACTTCCGGTGACAAACAATCCCGGCAATATGGCGTTGTCAATTATGTTCTGGGTAAACTATACGCGGGATAAGTTGAAACTGATGAGGAAGTCGGAAACTGCTGTTAACAGTGATCACGTATTGAAGTTTCTGTTCGATAGAGAATGTCTGCACGTAAGTGCGGTTGTTCAGGCCTCGATGCGTGACAGATCTTACAAAGTGGAGGTGGGAATGATGGCTGCAAATTTCACGTCCTTGTATATGTAATAACGATCATGAATAGTAAGTTTCAATATTAATCTTTACCCATTGGTTTGTCAAAGAAATTGGGAATTCTGCATGATCTTTTTCTGATGGTACAATGTGTTATGTCTGTATTATTCTTATTGGAAGTGTGTACCAGAAGTTGGCAGAACTAATCACTTGCTGATAGGTATCATTATAGCATTTGAACTTTGGGTGTTCTACAGGTTGCACTTTAAAATATAAATATATATATATATAAGGCAACAGCAATAGTAAGTCCTTCAATAAATATCCCAGGTAGCATGCCATATTTACCAAAACGCCACACATACATGTGCACTGTAAGTTAAGTTGAGTGATTGCCTTGCCTTTTGGTAAATATAATTTTGACAATTCAACCACATACTTGTATTTGTGATTCAAATATTGGCAAGGCATAAGCAGCTTAGCCCTTTCTGCAATGCCAAATCCTACAATTACCCAGGTTAGTGTACATGGTGTATCCCTATCACCCTTGACTATCTGTTTACATGTTAAGTACTGTTTGTGTGATGTGTAAATCAAAATGTATTACAATATTAGACATGGAAAAATTTAGAACAACAGAAGGAGTATTGAGTTTTCAGTGCATGTTCAAACACAAAGTATATGCTGATTAATAGCTGATTTTCTGATGATAATTTGAGATTATTGTTAATATATGGCAGACAGTGGGCAAATGCAGTGCTGGCTTTGGGCCAATGCAGTGCTGATGAAGTATGCCACTGTTGGGCACAAGTTTTGCCACAATTGGGATGAATGCATTGATGATGACACACTTGAGATGCTTAACAACATATTAATTTTTATGTAACTGTTAAAGGTTCACCTTAATGATGCCTTTGGCGTAACATACTCATCTTGCGAATGTCCTTTGGGCCAGTATTCCTGCCACCATGTGGCTGCTGCACTTCTCTTTGGGTAAGTTTGAATCACACAATATAGGTATTACATGCTTATCACAGAGGGCTAACTATTCATAATGATGTTGTGACTTGGTGTGTTGTGGACCCAATGACATTGTTGATTTCGTGCACCATGTCGATACATCATGGGTTAATGTCGAATTATGTTTGTCCACTATTCATGTATTTTTTTTCTAATTTGAAATTCATTACACAATGAGAAGTTACATAATGAGACAGATCTTTTCTATCTTTTATTGTTAACTGAGTTATTATTCTTTCAACTATTGTTGTTTTAACAGTTATAGGAGAGCCACCAAAACAGATGTGAAGTGCAGCTGGCTTAATGCACCAAAGAGTAAAATAAGACCAGAGATAGCCACCATGGAGGAGCTTTTTCCCCCTCGCAAACCTAATTACAAGTGAGTAAATTGAAAAAAATGCATTTGTGCCTTTTCCATAATTTCCCGGTGATTATTATATCTGTATGGTTAAATCTTTCATAATTTAGTCATGTGGGAGGTCCTTTTGCTTTCTGCTTTGTTACTACCTTTTTACCTTTCACAAAACAGAGCTCTGACGAGAGAGGTCACAGATGACGACCGAAAATTCATACATGATCAGCTGCACAAGCTTGGACGATTCACTGGTGCCTGATTATTTTAAGTTAAATGATGGCGTGTTCAAATTGGAGTTTTGCTGTTTTTAATTATGTTTAATAATTGTTAAGTTATTTTATAATTGTTAAGTTATTCATGTAACATATGTTATATTTGGGATTACACTGTGGAAGTCGCGGTGGTTGATCAGGTTAGGCAGCTGACTTTGCGTGCTGATGAATGGGTGCCTGACTCTGAGGGTGCGAGTACTTTTATTTGTACTTTACAAAGAAAGTGTAATCCCAAATATAACATATGTTAAATTTGACCACTTTCTAAATGGCTTTGTGTAATCATAAGTTATTGATGTTGTGAATGCTATGTGCGAAAACCTAGTAAAACCTGTTAAAACTGTTATTAATCTATGACAGTCATTGAAATACAATTCACTTACACACTAGGAACTTATTCAACTGCCAATATATTGCAGCACTCCGGTGGATACTGTCACCAGAACCACCACTTGAAGGACCGATCATTTCATCTATAGAAGATCTCATTCTCAGCCAGCAATACTTGGAAGCACCTTGTAAGCGTGCTTGGTTGAGCAGGGCCCTCCTCCTGTCACAATCAACGATTTCATTTATTGCAAAGAAGACTATTGGACAAAGGACGAATCCTCTTTGGTGTATAGTGAGGAAGCACCGCATCACTGCATCCAACTTTGGTGCTGTGTTGGGTTGCATCAGGAGAAATAGGTAAAACATACTTAAATGAGAAGTTTCTTCGATACTATGAGCATGCACACAGCTGTAGCCTATCAAGTCTCTCCATTTTCAGTGTTGTATATTTACTCACTCATAAGCTTTGGTCATGGAACATTGTGTTATGTTCTATCTTTGTGTGTCCAATATTTTCAAGGTATCCACCATCACTTATGAAGCGGTTGCTCTCAGCATACAATCTGGAAGCAGTCAAGAGTGTTGCCTGGGGCATAAATCATGAGGCAGTTGCACTCAGGGCCTATGAAGCTGGTGGTGGTGTGATTGAACATACAGGTAAATTCCAGCATCATGTAACAGGAAACAACTTTATGATAACATCTTTTGACACCCATATTACTTACTGCTTATTTATATTGCACCCTGTTAAAGCATAGCCTGCCCAGAAAAGAATGAATTTGAAATTTAATTTCTTGGTACAATGCACTATTATCTTTTTTCCAATTTCAATGCCTCTAAATTACTGTTTATGAAGTGTGATTAGTTTGTAAAAGATACTACCTTTTATTTTAACAATGTCAGCACACAGTTGAAAAATATGTTTGCCTTACTACTGATCTGTTTCCATGTGAATGTTTACAGGGATTTGGTTGCATGAATCTGGTGTTCTTGGGGCATCCCCAGATGGCCTAGTTAAGACTACCTTCATGATGCCTGTTATATACCAGTCTTCTGAAGCAAGGCATTTAACACCTGATATCATCGAGGTGAAGTGCCCATATGCTGCCAGAACAGTTGGTATCGAAACAGGTGTTGATACAGTCAAAGGATTCTGTCTTGGTTAGTATGCCTTTGCTAATGTTTAATACCCCTCAGAAATAGCACATGTCATATCTGTATCATAGATCATGAGTTTACAACCAGCAGGGATTAATAGTACGCGAATTCCTGTGTCCTATATTGACAATGGACGCAACAAGATTTATTAGCACATCCACAGGGGCGCAGAAAAAGTCCAAATACTTTTTGTAAAATATCCAATAAAGTATCAGTAAGTTATCAAAAGGTTTGCTACTAGCTGGATTATGGTACAATGTCCAATTGAATTACTGTAACAATAAGGTGATGATCATGATGCACAATACAATAACAGTATTAATAATAATAATTAAGTGTCTAGGACCCCATTTTGTTGTCAAGAAACCCTGAAAATTAAGAGCATGAGTCCTAGGGACCCTCAAAAACAGTACTCAGGGTAAATCCCTGAACCAGGTAATACAACTTCAAACATGTTAACATGTCATCCTTATAACTACATTTATTGGTATTTATCAGTACACTGAATATGAAGGCAATGATTACCAGGACCCGGTTGTATCAAACTTTAATGAAGCATTAACGTGCCATTAAACGTTCATTAACTAATGTATCATTAAATTCTGTTGTACTAACGTTTTAATGATGCTCTGTTGTCATTAGTGCGTCATTAACTTAATGAAGGTCCTGGGGTATCATTAGAGCATCATTAAACGTCCTGGGAAAAGTGAACATTGCGCCAGAATTTTGTTTGCGCCGCACTGGATCTACCTACAGCTATAAAATTACACAGAAATGTAGAGTATTCAATGTACTATCTCATGGTATAAACTCAGTTTGAAAAGTGACATTGCTAAATGTTACGCCTAATTTTGTTTTGCGTTAAAAACAGTAAATTTCTCTGCTGTTTATCGTGCACTGATAAAAGTACTGTGCTACTATATTTTCAATTTGGCATCTTTACGGAAAGTGTGAGCGAACAAAATTCTACCTGATACCTGAATGACATAGGTATGTATTAAATTAGTTTGTGTGCTTATGTATAACGTTATACGCTCAATCTTAAAAGTGACTCGCAATATGTGTTGAAAATGGATTTTCCCCTATGACGTCAATTGGCTACATAAAGGTCACACGCTTATAAAGATAAGGGGGGGCCTCACTCCGGTATGCTTAATACTAAGTCATTGTAACTCAGATCACTTGGCGAGAATTTGCTGTGAATAAGGACACAATATATTCGTGATGTTTTGTTCACAGAATTATCGAAAACAATGATACTCAAAACATTTGTGACAAAACGCGCACCTGGCCAATGATTATACGCCATTGTTTTGTCTATAACACAACATAAACAAATTCAATGAACAAGACATATCCTTTAAAAACGTGTGCATATATATTTCATGAAATAAATAAATCATTTTAATTTATTATGTCAGGTATAGTCATACTAACAATACTGAATATTTTTATTTTTTAAAACTTTCAGTGAGAGGGGAAGATGCCTGTCTTCATCTGTCTGAGAGTCATGAGTACTATCACCAAATTCAGGGTCAGCTATCTACATCTTGGGTAAAGATTGCTGTGACTTGCTGGTTTGGACACCTATTGCGTCAATTTTGGCCAATCAGCAGGCCGGGGCGCGCTGTGTGGATTTGTCAGACTTATTTCCGGGGTCAAACGATGCATCCGAAGCGATGTGCTTCGAATTATGCCATTTACACTCGCTATATTTATTACATATTGCTGCGATTTGATGTGTACCTTAACAAAACCATTACGGTCAAGACAACAAAAATGGAGGCGGATTAAGAAACGCGATAGGCCTAACGATCAGTTAAATGTCTGCACCATCGTTCAGGAAACCTACGTCTGCCTGCTGATGAGAATTTGCACGAATTTCCACACTTTTGCACATGTGCAAAATCATTACCAATTGATGACAACAAATAGCAGTTTAAGACTTTGCAAGTGTTATAAATACGGACAATTCTTGTAACTACAAAATTGTTTTTGCTTAACGTTTTAGTCACTACTAGGCATTGAGTTGGTACGCCATAAAGCTCAAATGAGACAGGCGAGAAAGCCGTGACACAATGTAAACAAATCTTCATTTCGGTTAGGGTCAACCGAAATAGCAAAACTTGTTACATGAAAGAACAATGTGGCGGATATTGTCCCCTTCGCTCTTAGATATTCTTCAATTTGTCACACATTTTAGGATGTTTTAAGTTTCATAAGCACAATCTGAAGGCCTACAGTATCTTGTTACAGAGCAAAATATTCGAGGAGTAATATTTTTTATTCAAACGGAAATATTGTCAGTGTCAGCAGTTGCCTATCATGCAATATCCAAGTATCAAAATTAGTTCATATGAGTGCCTATAAAACCATGCTTTAAATATTTCAGATTTTTTATAAAGAGTTGCATGGGACTTTGAACTGAATTACCTTCCTCCATGTTGATCGAATACGAAAACTGTGAGAAGAATAGTGACTTTCTGGAGTATTGGACGGGGTGAAATAAAGTGTATATCTTAATTATGAGAACATTATTTGAAGTTTTGTTACCACATAAATTATTCACATATAATGGTACATTTTAGGAGTAATATTACAACTGTAATTTTGATTAATTCACTGGAAATGATAGCAAGGTATGTTTTAAGAATCTTGATTTTTGTAGTAAACGTGGAAGGGTAATAAAATTAATAATAATCTAATCAATAATAAATAATTATTTAATTGATTGACATATCAGATTTGTTAGATTTTAAGGCAGAACTAGGCAAACAAACACCATACATATCATGGCAGGACAATCACTTGGTATTAACTTAGTTTCTTGGCTCCTGCTTTTAGATGATTTTTTAAATACTACATTTACTAATAAGATAATTCTGAAAGTGATTGCTAGTATCATAACTCATTAAAGTTATTTCAACATCCAGAAAATTTGAAAAAGCAAAGGCTACGTTTTGGTCAAACCCTGGTCAGGCATTATCCAGTCCTGGAACAGAATAACTTACAAAAATCTCAAGTGACTTTTCATGTAACGGAATAAAAATTGAAACATATATTTAACCCATATTTGATGTAATTCTTCTGATAAATCATAAGTTTTTTAGGAGGTTACTAATATTTGAAGACTGAGCCAAAGCTAGAGTTTATTAAGATGGTTGATTTGGACTAATTGTTCAAGGTTTGTTGATGGTTATTTGCAAAATGAGCTTCATATTAAATTGCACACTGGTTTGTAGGAGGTGAACGCTTCAGGACATTTCCATGTCTGTTTTCCTAAACCTTTGTTATGACTTTTACCAAATTTTGAATCAACTTTACTATAATTTTTGACACAAGTAAGTATCTCAGAAAAGGAAATAGATCAAAATCAGTGTTGTGTCCTCTAGGGATATGGTCTCAGATCTAATAAAACAAAGATTATCATTGTTTAATTAAGAAGCAATAATGTCGATATGTAATTGTATTGACAGAAGGCTTTGAACATAGGATATATTCTTTGCACCTTATTTACACTAGTAGTTAGCAGTTCAACATCTCTGATGAAAAAACAATAGATCTAAATTTGTATTTTGTGTAACATTCTATTTCAATGCTAGTTAATTGTTCGGATAACTGTGGATTCTCTGTTCCAAAATTTTGCATCACATGTTTCCTATTTCTGGAAGATGGGTCAGCTAGTGTACAGGTGCAGACTGTATCTTGGATCTTCTTTGTGTTCTGGTGCTTTGACATACCTGTACATAAACGCTGGCAGTTCATGAAGTCCAGTATTGTGGAAGTTTGTATGTAAATTAGGATTCCACAACAAAGTACATATAGAAAAATTAAATGGAAATGATAATTAAAAAAATTATTTCCTTATATCCAGTGTCATTTTATCATGGTGTACAGATTTTGAAGACAGAAACTTTACTGAGAGTTGCTGCAGATCAGCTGTTGAATATTTGCTTCTGGGTATGTCCAGATACGTCCATGGAAACATATTGTTTACAAGCCCAATTACCTTTTCCAGATTTCCAAATAAGATCGAATAGGTTTGCTGTGATTGTTTTGTTTACATTAATTGTACAGACAAATAAGGTGCATGAAGTAGTAGACGGGAAATATTTCTGCTTTTTATTTACCATTCTCTTAATTCATTAAAAGATAGAAACCCATGTTTTCAGATTATTGAACTAAATTTGAACAACGCCAACGGATAAGTAAAGGCGCCACGCGCAGTGTTGATAATCAATTATAGATACCGAAACGATCTGCATTATGAACATGTGGTTGTGTTCACGAGTTTAAAGATATAAACCCAAGCAACAAAATTCAGTTATCCTTCCCCTGCTAATATCTGTGACGGAGGTGAATTGCCAGATAGATTAATTGATTCGAAAGAAATTACGCTTCCTACAGTGTCAGCAGCTAGTCGAGACGCTTTTTCATCGGGCATGTAACTCATTTTCACTCGCCAGTTGTAATCTGCCAGCTAAAATATATTAAAAATCACATACGTATAACTTGCCTCTTTAAATAACATTCACAAACGACGGATACCAAAGTATCACAAGCAGAATTCATCAACAACGTTCGCAATCACGTAACGTTTCGCCGGCGGTGACGCCATTGTGATTTGCCAGTGGTTGTCCCCCCACTAACGTCAAAAACGAAGTGGGCGGGGCTTATCGGCCGGGACTGGATCGGTCTATTGTGTTGAATTTGAATGTTGAGACGTGCTGTGTGTTTGTGGGTTTTTTAATGGTTGTATCAAATATGACTTGTTCAAATGATTTAAATTTCTGTGTTGAATTTAGACATGTTAGCGTACATTTCCCACCTATGAAGTATGAATTTGAAACCTTTTGCTTACAATTTATATGTTTGGAAAAAGGAGGTCTCTTCAGTAGTATATGTTACAATGACAGCAATGTTTACTTGCTTACACAACAAGGGAAATTCTTACATCAATTTGCCATTGTTCCAGTGAAGGTGAAGCCAGTCCGACATCTTGACACAACCCAAGGGAGCTAAGCTTTTTAACAACACCTTCGACACGCGGATCAGAGCAGCTATACGAGTTGGAGACTGGAAGCTCATCACAGGAAGTCCAGGTTTGTGGACACTCACTGCTTAATACTGAAGGGTAGCTTAGTGGTTAAGGTGTTTGCTCGTCACGCCGAACACCCGGGTTCGATTCCCCATATGGACACAATGTGTGAAGCCGAGTACTGGTGTCCCCTCACTCCCTGCTGTGATATTGCTAAAAACGGTGTAAAATAAATTCACTCACTCACTCATTTAATTCCTTAGCTAGTGACAGGTATCGGATTATGAATACACAATGCCAGTTGGAACGTGGTCAAATGTAACATAAGTTTTATTTGGTACATGTATTACACTTTCTCAGTTAAGTACAGATTTTATTAGGTTGTTACAGTTGTCAAAGGGGTTTTAATCAATGTGCTTTAATACGTTAATGCTCTCTGTGAGGTAGGACACGTTTTATTACAATCTTGATTAATGAGCATATTGTTTTGAGCAGTGCCACCATTTTATTTACTTTTGAAAGTAATAGGAAGGAAGGAATCTGATTTGCCAAGAGGGATATAAGTTATAACAGCCACTGGTAGGGATATGATTGAGGTGTGAAATTCCAGGCTAGTTTCATAAGGGTGGAAACTAGACTTTTGTAGACAGTTATACCTCCCTTGCCTCTGGAAGATGGTTCCAGATCTATTTAAAGGTAATGAAATAAAATTCTTCTGAGTACTTAAGATAAGAACTAACAAACGTTCACTATAAGCATAAATAGTTGCCAACAAGTAGCATCAATGTAAAACATGCCAGTAGAGTGATCTCCCCTTGCTCCTGTGTAATGGCTGCCATGCTCACCACATGGTTTTGAACGAAGGACCTTTTAAACAGAAGTCTTAAGACTATCACAACTTCCATGTCTTTGCTTACACAGTCTTCCTCCATCCTCGGGAAACGACAGCTGGATTCCGCCGCCACATCTCAGTAAGGAGACGGTTGTTGACAAGGATGATAAGGAGAAGAATCTTTGGCTGTTTGACCCAAATGAACACAATGACTTGTCAGCATCACAACCAGGCATTGTTAAGAAGCTTCTGGACCGACTAGAGTACTACCAGAAAACAGGAATACCCCCCAGGTACCCTGATCCTGACCCCAAGTGTGACCCCAAACTACATGGAGGGGTGTGGGGGCCGTGGGAGTAAACAGAACTTACTCTACAGTAGAGTAGGTGGTTTAGGTTGTCTCTGATTTGGGAATAAACTATAGATTAATTGATTAACTGACAAGACAACCTTAATTGACGCTGAAAGCCCCTTTTATATATGCTTCTATGTACTAAATGTGACTTGATAAGTCTTGGAAATATTATTGGAATTAGCTTTGAAGATCAGATCTTTAGACGAAGCTTGCAGCTATTTTGGAAGATAAGTCAACTTTATTTGCCTGATATGTTGAATGTAACTGGGACCTTCTTCATCTGGCTGCTCAGTGCAGCCTCTTTTGATTGGTAGCTCAATCCTATGGAATGTAGCTTGGGTCATTTTCGTTGATCACTCAATCGTTTGGAATGTAGCTTGGGTCAGCTTTCGTTTGTAGGTCACTCCTTTAGAATTTAATATATTCGTATAGTAGTTTGAAGATTCTTCAAATATTTATTGTCTCAGTTGGTAAATATATATTTTCTAAATTGCCTCCCCCTGACATCAGTTAATTAGAATATAAAGCTACTCTGTTTTCAATTTTGCTGTCCTTTATCGTTGATTTAATTAAGACCGCTAAATGTAATTTATAAACCGAACGCGTCAAGAAGTTCATTGTATTCATACGCGGTGAATCGGTCTCTTTAATTAGAGGTCCTTAAACTGCCATTTAAGTACGGGTTTGATGAGCTCTCAGCCAATCCGAATTGAGTATCACACAGTGTAGTGCTAGAATAACGGATTGACTGTTTATATTACTTCCTTGTCAGTTGTTTAATTTGAGGGTATTTATGAGACATCATTGTTTATAATTTGATACTTTTATACACATACCTTTTATATTTTTAATTATGCTTATATCATGGTATATTTCATATTTTTAAATGAGGGGAAACACATGGGTCATTGGTGTGTGTATCAATGGCTTTGGAGGAAACTCTAGCTTGTATTCTCACTCATGGTCTCAGAATGGTGATAATACTTGTATGTTTTCAGTATTCTTGAAGAAATCATACTTAACCATTTACTTAATACACTTAAATCATTGATCCAAACATTATTCATCTTTTCTATAGGAGATGTTATGTCACAAGCGTCCATGACATACTTTTATGATATTGCCACATAGATACTGATGCTTGGCCAAATGTAATTGATTGGCAGCATGCATGTTAATGTAACATATCAAAGAGATTAATGTAGTAACGAGGGAAAGACATTTTATACATTCAGGCTGAATGCAATTAGAGGCTAAAAGTTGAAGCAAAAGGTTTTAACCAACAATATTTCCACAGTGGAAATATTTTGTTATGACTGTCTGAATGTTTCATGACATGGGTAAGATACAATTTGTGTGTTGTTCTATTTTATTGTTGTGGTTCACATGTGTACATTTCAGAGACTCAGCAATCTGAGATTTCAAATTACATGAATCACCTCTAATTACTTACAGTTATCTCACTGCACCTATGACATTGGGCTTCAGAAGTTCACAAGATAAGATAGACAGAAACATTTCAGACCTCTGATTACAATATTTTTGTTATTATGTGCATCATAGATTAATACAAGATTGATGAATACTGCTTGTTTTATTAATCTACATGGAGTACAAAATGATACAAAAACTTTTTTTCTTTTTTTTTAGAGAATCGTCTATTGTTGTATAGTCTCAGTCAACTTTATTGATTAAATAATCCATCAAGTCTCCATTCAGGTGATAGCATAAATGGGTTATTCAGGAGCTGTTAAAATATCTTGTTATTAGTTATTAATAGTATTGATGTAGACGATATGTTAGTCATTTTTCACTTATGGTAATTCTTCCTAGTTAATTTTTGTCACACAATATTTTTATACAGAAACACACTTAACTAAGAATGCATGTGTATAATGTTTATGGATTAAATTATGCTTTATTTGGGGTTATAAACCAAATAATCTTACCTTTATATCTGGCATGACCTATATTTATTTTTGGTATACATGTATTTGAAATTGTACATGACATTGGATCAACAGAAATGTCAAGATGTATATCTATTTGTATATAATTTGTATTTAAAAATCCTGGGTGCAGGTTTAAAACAAAGCTTTGAGGTGCCTTACTTAGATTTAAGTGCTAACATTTTATTTACAGTGCCAAAATGATCTAATCTTGAGCAGGGGCGTAGCTACCATTATTAAAAAAAAGCCTGGGCTTACACATGATTTTTGCTAAAGATCACCATGAAAGTTCGAGAAGTCCCAATACTATCTAAATATAGAGCTTTGCAACCTATGGGGCTTACATGATGCCTTTTGAGCATTTTACTGAAACTTGTACAACCACTACAAATGACATGTTCATTGTATTGACAATAAATATGATTAAACCAATTTGGTGTTCATTTCAATTTACAGGACAAGTGTGACATTTTTATTGCTCTGCATTCATCAGTTGTAATTCTAAGGTGTTTGATTTTTAACATCACCCTCAGCAATATTCCAGCTATATGGCAGAGGTCTTTAACTAATTAAGTCTGGACCAGACAATCCAGTGATCAACCTCATTGGCATCAATCTATGCAATAGGGATACAATGACGTGTCAACCAAGTCCGTAGGGTTGCTGAAGACCTATTCTAACCCGGATGTTCAGGGGTTGTGATTCTAGGAGGATGGAGAAGCCTTAGAATGACTCTTAGAAGTGGTGAAAGAGAAAGCATATACTCTGGAACATAGTTTTCCTTAAATTTAAAAGGTCGATACCACAACTTCTCTCCTTAAAGGTTATGTACTTGTACAATATTGACAAACCTTATGGATAACAAGTTCTTTGCTTTTGTGGGTGCAATGTAATTCCTGCTTGGCAACAGAACAAGAATCTGTATCGAAACATGACACTCACGAAGTAAATTCCTGCTTGACAACGGTAAAGTAATCTGTATGGGCTAAAGAATCTGTAACGAAACTTTATCTCTTTCAAAGATCAATGGTGGTTCCCAAAGGAACACACAAATGTACAAAGTACGTACTTTTACTTGGGAGATGTCATATGTTTCATGTCCCGTCGTACAAACATAATGACACGGTAACATCAGTGCATATCCATGGTGAGACCAATTTGCGTAGTGACTTATGAACCCAGTCCTGTAGCAACAATGTGTTAATTAGTAAATTAGCAATTTCGTTTGTTTCAATCAAAACAAAAAAAAAAACATTGCGTAGAACAATGCACAACATAAAACGTTTTCAGTGCAAATGGCCCCACACATAGCATCACATCCTTCTAACCGACAGGAACTTCAGCGCACCCCGCCGTGAGATTGCTGGAATATTGCTAAAAACGGCGTAAAACCATACTCACTCACTCTTCCGAGCACAGCGTTCGGTTTCACATCTATGTTGAGCTACTCTACTTCGTTTTATTTTATCAAGGCACGTTGTATTGGTGACAATGACCTTTAGCCGTTTGATTCTAAAATGTTTGAAGAATTCAGGGATGTATGTGTTGCAGATGAGTGTGAAATATGTGCCATTTAATAGACGTCTCGTGACCTGCCAAGTCGAAACGTGATTTTGTCATCCTAAACTCTCGGTTTTTTTTAATGCTTGTTTAACGCCAAACCCTGCACTCTCCAGATATATGAGGCGGTCTTTAAATATGAATACACAATGCCATTAAGAAAGTGGTCAAATGTAACATATGTTATGTTTGGGATTACACTTTCTTAGTATAGTACAGATTCTAGTACTTTTCTTAGTTTGAGCCCCATCCGGGATTCGAACCCTCACCCTCAGAGTCAGGCACCTAATCGCCAGCACACAAAGTCAGACGCCTAACCTGCTCAGTCGACGACTTTGTGTGCTGGCGATTCGGTGCCTGACTCTGAGAGTACTAGAATCTGTACTTTACTAAGTAAGTGTAATCCCAAATATGACATATGTCATATTTGACCAACATCACGATCTATGCATTTGGGAACCGATGACATGTGTCAACCAAGTCAGTGAGCCTGACCACCCGATCCCCTTAGTTGCCTCTTAAGACAAGCATGGTTCCTGAAGGCCCATTCTTACCCGGATATTAACGAGTTATACAGTATCGAATACAGCAAAAAGCGTTCGTGTTTGTGTATTTTCAGTAGCATTGCAAACGGCAACGTTTCAGAATATTCGCTGGTGATTTCATAAAAACAAACCCAGATACCCGTGATCTCTTCTGTGCTATTTTCTCACTTCAGTTCTCGAGTAATAATATATCTGATTTTCATATTTTGCAACAAACACACTAAAGGCTGTGGTAATGTGTCGAAAACAGATTTGCGATGTACATTTTCGTTGGTCATTTTCCACAGTTTTCACAATTCTAGAATGACAATGGAATATCTTAAAATAAAATTGAAACTACCGTGAACAAAATCAGGATTATAGAGGCAGGATATACACTCTTCGTAATCACTCTCCTACCCAGAGTTCCATGCGGCCCGCATAGGTTGCTTAGTCACCATTGTGCCACAGTGTGTCTTCGTCATCACTGCATTTTGAGGTCAGAATACCATGACGTCACAGACTTCAGTCAAGGCTCAAATGACAATTTGTAAGAACAATACAGGAAATGTTTCAAAGATTAATAAGTGGAGTCATTTTCAAGATTATGACATACGATCCTCAAGAAATTACATAAGTATCAATACAAAATAGCCGAGAACAGTGTCAATATTTTGAGTAACGTCCTCCAACTGCAATAACATCACTGACCCTCCTCCTCATTGACATTATCAGACTTTGAGTTTGACGTTGGGGCATTGCGTTTCATTCTTAAATGGAAGGCTTGTTTCATTCCATCAATATGTTTTACTGGAAGATCTCTGTGACCCTCATGCCTCAAACATGTGCACGGTGTAACTAAGCATTGTCGTCCATAATGACTGACCTTGAGATCAGAGGATGGTCATTGACAGCAAAACCCTGCCTAAGAGGTCCAATCAGATTGTGTCTGATCGTCACATGGTTTGCTGATGTTTCAGGCCAATCGGCTGGTGGATTAAGGATGCCAATCTCTTG